GGTGGCCAAGGCAGTGGTGGGAGCACACCAGCCTGCTCTCTTTGACTCGGCCGCTGCACGGCTGGCTCTCAATGGTACCAGATAAGGAATGAAAACAAACACAAGGTAGGTGCCTGTGAGTGCCCCTGCTAAAGAAACTGGAAAACATTCACTGCAATGGAGTCATGGCCGAGATAGGCTCTGTAATAGGAAGGATTAAAACGCCTCACAGGACCTGGCTTGACTCCCAGGGCCCTCTCTGGACACTGGCACAAGGGCAGCTCCTCCCGGTGCCCCAGGCCTCTGCAGAGGCTCAAAGGTCCGCAGCCCTCTTTTCCCAGGAGGGCTTGTGTTGCAGGCTGGGTATCAGCACCCAGCAGAGCACAATCTCCCATTTATTGTATTTCTACGTTATTGTATATCTAGCAGTGATCGCCTGTGGTAGGGACCACGCACAGGTAACGGCACGGCTGTGGAACAGGGTTGCATGAAGGCACTAGGAGCATGTCAGAGACTCAGCTGCTTCAGCTGATGTGCAGATGCCAGGCTGTGTAACATTCACATGATCATCCCTTTTGCAGCGTAGGCAAGTTGTAGGGGGAATAGCAAGGAGAGCCAGCTGAGCAGTGGAGAAGGTCAAGGACTAGGAGGGTTAACTTGGCCTCTCTGCTTGTAGGAGGTCCTGGTGCCGTTCCCCCATTATTTTTAATAACCTTGAAAAAATCAAGTTGAAACATGACTTAGAAACAGTCCTAGCTGCGTTAGCTGCTGGTCATGCAGAACTGCGACTTCGGGGACTGAAGCTGCAGAAAAGCAGTGTTAACTCCTCCCAGCACCCTTCCCAAACTGCCCCAAGGAGCCTGGTTCAGGCCGTGCCTGGCAAGGTCTCATGTGGGAGCGCCTGGGCCCATCCGGAGCTGCCCCGTGCAGCACCGAGGGCTGGCACAGAGAGCTGCCAGCAGGTCCTCTCCTCCCCTGCCTGCCCACGTCAGAGGCACGAAATGCAGCTGGCCACACAGCCACCTGGGTGACAACACCGCAGCCGGCTCCGAAAAGCCTGCTCCGAGCCGCTGCTCCCACGGAGTCCCACACAGCAGCACAAGCTCTTGCTGTTTGCAGAGTTTCTGCAGAATAAGCAGCAGTGTGGCCACCCCGGGCCACTCCCAAGTGCTCCCTGTAGACCCAGCATCTGTGCCTTCGTGGGGGAGGATCGTGCATCTCGCAGCAATAGCCTTCCCTAATTAAAGCATATTTTTTCTCCTTATTGCAATTCTGCTCTCTCCTGTACACTCAGGCATTCATGGCTGGATTTCTCAA